GTTTTCACTCACTTAAGTCCCTCTCCCTTTGCCATCAATCCAAAATCAGCTGAGCTGCAACATAATACAGACAGGTAATAATCAACAGAATCACAAGGACATAATATGACTGCTAAAAACACTCACCCATAAGTTATGTTTTTGTTTACTGTTTGGAAGTCTCAAATATCCACTCTAAATCCATATCAATAGCGATGTATCACAAAAATAGCTCTCTTCCTTATTATTGTGTAACGTTAACTATATTATACTACTACCACTAACATCCTTTAATACACATGTGTAGTTAATTTGATTCAGATGTTCTGATAATATCCGCAATATAAATCTTTAAACGTCTTCTTACCTTTAAACGTCCATCACGAACGGTCTATTATGCTACAACTCTACTGCGCTGCTAGCCGCAGATCCTCTCAATAGTTTCCCGGAAGTTAGCAGCAAGCTAACTTCCGGGGAACTACTGAGAGGCTCCGCGATCCGCCATTGCTGTAAAAAAACTGGTCCATTGGAGTGAACGGAGATGTCGTAACTCTTCTCTGGGTGGGGTCGGACATCCAACCCCGCCTTTTATCCGACCCCGCCCCATTCCACGTTCCGCAGCGAGGACCTTCTCCGCAAAGCGGGACATCTGGTCACCCTAGTTGTAACACGAATGAACCAAGTCCCAGCACCTATTATGTGCATGGTACACCACCCAGGACTAGAGCCAAACTGTCTCAACCCATACACCCTGCAGAACCTCCATAACATGTACAGATTCGATTATGGACCCGTAGAACGGAAGAAGAGTAAGTTATTCTTACCTGTAATAAACTACTACTGTGTTTGATGAAAAATCAAATCATGGTTTGCTATATATGAATGATATGTTATAGGAGCAAATAATTCAGGGAAGAAAGGCTACTAAGTATTTCCATCAAACTTTATTTTTAGAAATGTGCAAAATGTACATATATACACTGTATATCATCCATTCCTCCCCTTATAGGCATTTTCGGCATCTTGCCTATCGCAGCTTTGTAAGCTGGTGCTGTGTAGAGATGGCAAATCCGGATCATTTTATGGACTCGGAGTCTTCTGAGTCAATCATTGAAGAGATCCGGATCATACGAGTCATTTGAGTCATATGAGTCAGCATGACCAAGACCGTAGAAATCCTACCGGTGAAACCGAAAAGTTGTTGCATTTAACCAGCATATTAAACTAACGTTACATTAACCTCCGCTACACAGTGTCTTTTGCTTTAATAAAACATGTGTGTTTGTGTGCATTTTTAAAAATAAGTGTTTTGCATTATATGTATATAGTTATTTTAATATGTTCCTGTACTTAAGCTAATTTTGCACAATTGTGTTTTCATTTAATAATAATAATAATAATAATAATAATAATAATAATAATTGTATAATTACATTTTATATATTCTAACTGTTTTGCAATTTTCTATCATTTGTTTCTTTTTGTGTGCCATGTTCAAAATAAACGAGTTTCCAAGTAAGATCCTTATTGGAAATGCAGATATTATTACAGGAGACTGTTGCACAACATGACCATTTTGTTAGAAGTCTACACTGAAACTTAATTTAGAGCCGGAAAAATCGCGGGATCCGTGAATCCAGGTCAATGATCGAGAGAGACCAGTAGCCTACGAGGACTCAGAGCCGTAACATATAGCAGGCAGCAGATCCAGAGATCCAGCAGACTCGTCCCCATGCACGAATCTACAGCAGACTCAGCCCCTCCTCCGGCTCGCGCGAGTCCCACGGCTCCCGCGAGTCCCACGGCTCCCTCGACGAGTCGCAGCAGACTCAGAGATTTGCGGACTCACGGCTCACTCACGGCTCACTCACGGCTCACGGCTCACTCACGGCTCCCGCGAGTCCAACGACTCATGGCTCACTCACGGCTCACGGGACTCTCGCGGGAGCCGGAGGAGGGGCTGAATTTGCTGTTGATTCGTGCATGGCGACGAGTCTGCTGGATCTCTTGATACAACAACGTTGTAATGTGATTGTACACGTTATAAAGAGAGTAAAGAGTGACGCAATTTATAGTTTTAATTGTTACGTCACATCAGGTGTAGGACTCAAAGGACTCGGGTTAATCGAGAGGGAGACTCGTCACGACCGGCTCATTACTAGGATCCGGGTTAATGATCCGGATGAATCATGACTCGCCCATCTCTAGTGCTGTGGCTTTTTAGGACGAGGCATCAGAGTGGTCATCCCGTTATGTGTTGGCCGCCGCCGGATACGCAAGGAGTTTCCTGATCTGGCTGGACGAAATCAAATGCAAATCACAAAATATTAGAGAAACTTAGTTGTTTTAGGTTCGTTAGCTTGCCAGCTAGATTAATATGCTAACCTACGTTTGCTAGTTGTTCAGTGTAATATGCCAACCTACTATGAACAACAGCTAGTGGTTCATATTAGGCTAGCAAGAACATGTTTACAATTGCAATCTTATAGGCCTACGGGTAGTCTGCTACGTTCGGTCATTCATTGTGGCTGGCATAAAAACAATGTTTTCCCTAGCAAACTCATGTCTAGCTCTTGGTAGCCTTCTTTTTTAGCTCGGTAGCATACACGCTAGGAACGCCAACTATAATGTAATTAAGTTTCACGACAGACCGTACGGTAAATTCCCCGGAGTATACTGTCTATGAGTATTTCATGTGTGAATGCAGACATTCTCCTGCTATGAGATACATGTAAGGCCATCTGCTGACATTGGAGTTGATATATGAAAACGCTAGCAACTTACTTATGGCGCATTTCCACTGCAGCGGGTAGCTCGCCTTAAGTGTGCCGAGCCGTGCGGGGCCCGTTTTTGGTTGCGTTTCCACTTGGCCTAGTACCGACTAGCGGGTCCTAATTCACAGTTTTTCTGGCCCCATAAAATCGTGGTACTAGGGCCAGGAACAACCAGGCTGAGTCGGGCTGAGTATGCTAAACTAGAGAGAGAATCGCTGGCAAGGGGGCTACAACTACAACAAGATGAACATATTTGACCGTGATTTAATTGTAATACACGTTTCAAAATGATGCCGAAGTAACAACATACTGATACCGGTTAGTAAAAACCATGAATTAATGCTTTGACAAGTCTGCAGACAGACGGCAGGCGAAAAACCATTTTAAAATGCGTGTTTTCTAAATGGAGCTTGGCTAAGCTAACGTTATATATGCTCCGACCGTCCACACTCACAACAACGGCCTATACAGACATAAATAAACCAGCGACTATATTCGCCATGACACAGGCAGTCTGTGGTTTGTACTTGTTTAACTTTTGTCTAGTTTCTGAACAGATATGAAGAGCTGTGAGTTCTGAGTGCTAAGAGCTAACAGCTGTGTTGTTTTTCTGGGGCTCTCATTGAAGATGACGTCACGGCTTCGCCTACACTGCGTTACTATAGTAACTACCCCAGTTCCTAAACTGTAATGGAAGCGCAGCATTAAAGTGAGCCGGCCCTAATAAGGCCTAACCAAACCGAGCGAGGCCTGCAGTGGAAACGCGCCATTAGTTAGCCCAGTTAGCACTGAGTCCAGGGGCGTCCATCGGGACGTTCGGGACGAATCCTGATGGGCCGGTACTGAAGTGGGTCGGATAAGTCATTAGCACCCCCCCCCATTGACAATTAACTAGCGGTAATTACTTGCGGTACCGAAGTGGGAGGTCGAGAGTCCCGGGCTGATTTGTAGTCCCAGTTCGCCCGAAAAACGTTTACCCATTTAAACAGTCGTGGGAGATACCTTGTTTGTTTTAAACATCATAAATACACAAACAACAATGAATACTTACAGGTTGTGTACCCGAATCTCCCGCTGGTCCAAACAAAGTAGGAACAGCATCGTTCTTCAGTGGAGATCCACAACATCCCCACACTTGACGCCTTCAAAAGGGCCCTCAAGTCCCATCTGTCTGCCAAGGACTTCGGCCCCAAATCTATTTGTTGTTTTATCTGACTGCCTTTTGTTATGTTATGTTTGTTTATACTCCTGTTCTTCCTTGTAAAGCGACCTTGGGTATTATGAAAGGCGCTATAGAAATCCAAGTTATTATTATTATTATTATTAATACCGGCTCGAACATCTGAAGGAACAGTGTTAAAAATACATTTCAACCACTGACTTTGTCGTGGTTCTGCCCTCGGTAAGGCATGTATTGAAGATTTCCCCTCACAATACAGGACACAGACCCTCGTTGGCATGACTGGATACAATTTTGAACTGAACCTGAGCTTCCAACAGTATATGTTCTGCTGGCAGAGGGTGTGGACTCTGGGTGTTCACACGTCACAGTACCCAGGAAGTAAACAATGGAAAATGAGAAATCTCCAACGAGGCGTTTAGGGGCAGCATAGACAGGTCTTTTCTGTGTTAGAGTTTTACTCGCTACAGGGTGTACTTTGAGGGTTTTTGACACTGCAGACCGTTTACATGCATAAAAACCTTCATAACACACAAGGGGACGGGTAATAACCGGAAAAGCATGACATGGGCCCTTTAATGGTGCATTTTCGTATATATTTCTGCTCAAGGTTTTATTCATTTGGTCTCATTATTATCAGTTAGTTTCTAGCAAGTGAACATGGTGGTTGATTTAGTTTCTAAAAAGCTGGATATGTTTTTCAGAAGTTGGTAAATAGAGCTAAAAGAAGAGACAATATCCGACCTACATTTACCAAACTGTCTGAAATCAAAAAATTACCTGTGATGAAATTTAAACTAGGACTCGTATCAAAGCATAAGACATTTGTAAATGTTTGGAGAATTTACTACCCAGCTACAACTATTGCCATTTGTATGGAAATATCTCAACATGCAAGGGCATCCCATAGAGCTAAAAAGGTAACAAGCTAACACTGAGAAATTAACAAACAAGCATGGTCATTTTGATTTTCATTTAAACCTAAGTACAAATGTTGATTCTCTGAGTAATGTTGTTGCCGTTACCTGACTAAATCTCTCTCTGTATCCCCCATTTGTATCTCCCAGACTGCTCAGACGGTCCTGGTGGTGGTGGTGGTGTTCTGCATCTCTTGGCTCCCTCACCACATCGTCCACCTGTGGGCGGAGTTTGGGGAATTCCCACTGAACCAGGCCTCCTTCGTGTTTCGGGTGGCCGCCCACTGCCTGGCGTACAGCAACTCCTCTGTGAACCCGGTCATCTATGCTTTCCTGTCGGAGAACTTCAGGAAGGCCTACAAGCAGGTGTTCAAATGCCAGATCGGCGACTCCCCGCTCAACGACCTCAAAGAGATTCGCAGCAAGGCGGACACCCCACCCTCGACTAACTGCACCAACGTCTGACATAGGAGGTGGGGATGGTGGCTCAAATTGAATACCTACCATCCCACTGAAACTCAATGTAAAGTCATAATGAAAGAGCCATAGGACATGAGTTGGTGTGTGGACCTTTTGCTCTAGGTAAGTGTGGTTGCTTGGATATTGCTGCAGCTATATTGTTCCACATAAGCGCTGTTCATTATTGGACCAGAGGAGATAAAGCCACTGTAGCTGCAGGGCATGATTACTCTTTGATTACGTCTTTGATCAGTGTCTGTGTCTCTCTTTCATAATAAACGGTGGAGTCCTTCACCCACCAAATAACCCTCTATCTAAATAAAAATGACTTTGATTGGAGACAGAATTTACTAAAGGTCAAAATACTATAGGCCTACCTATGAGGTTGTTTTACTTTCGGACTTCAAACATATTGAAAATGTAAATTGGCAGTCTTCTTTCAAGATTATTATTGCATTGTATATATATATATATATCAACTCCAATGTCACAGCATCATCATCTGCTGAAGTAAAAACTGTTGTTGGTCTTTTCTGTGTGAAGAACAGTGTTTTGGGCATTACTCAGTGAGCTTTTACATAATTGTGTTCTTTGAGGTATGAGTAAGAGATCACAATTGTGTTTGAACAGGACCAGTTATGACCAGTGGCGTCGCCTGGCTTTAGCGTGAACCTCATCATGACACAAGAGAGGACGGCAGGAATGTAATTTCCCGTGTTCAGTGAATGCAACAGAGGCATGACACCAGACCAATCAGAGAGTTGCATGGAAATAAACGTGTGCTTGTGCTTGTGTGTGTGTGTGTGGCAATAGCGCATTTAGAGAGAGAGAGAGAGAGAGAGAGAGAGAGAGAGAGAGAGAGAGAGAGAGAGAGAGAGAGAGAGAGAGAGAGAGAGAGAGAGAGAGAGAGAGAGACTCAGGTGAGCTCCAGGACTCTCTGAGTGTTTAGATCAGGGGTGGGGAACCTTTTTCCTCTCAAGGGCCATTTCAATTTTTACAACATCCTCTGAGGGCCGTACAAATTATTGACCTCTGCTTAAAAATACTAAAATCACAGCCCATTAATTTGGCCTTTCTTTCATGCTGTGCAAAGAAAAAGCGACCTCTGAATCCAGATATCTTACCATGACTCGCGTATGCATGCACGTGCAGAGTTGTGGCATGACCACCAACACAGAAAGATATTGGACACAAGATGTGTGCAAATGTATTTAGTTTCCTATCCATGTGGATGTGATTTCAATGGGGGGGGCTAACCTCCTCTAGGGGTTAGCATGCTCCCCCGGGAAGATTTTTTAAAGTTAAAAGCATCAATCTGGTGCTTTGAGAGCAACATTAGGAGATCTATGGATACATCTCTCAACACATATGAAACAGAACTGTAAGCAAAATGTTTTTCTTTATTTTATTTTACAAATCACTCTCCTTTCAAACTGTATTCTTGTTTATTAATAACAACTTTGTTTGCTGTCATATAGTATATTTTATACCCGTTTACTTTATTCTCTTATTTTTTTATAACTAGGCTATAATGATCATATAAAGATGTGCCTTTACCTCACTGGTTGTAAAAAAAAAAGCTAAACCAGATGCTAATAACAACAAAGTTATTGACTGTATGATCAGTATGACAGATGAGCAGATCGCCAGCGGGCTTTCAACTAAAGACACAGCCACGCAAAAACTGCGGCATGTGTACGGCTCCTTATGGGTACTGCTTGGAAGTGCCGGAGCGACGTTCCGGTGCTCTCCGTCAGAACTGCACTCCTGTCAGACGAGACATATACCACGTGATGACACGTTAGGCTCGTGATGTGTTCAAGGACCCTGACCTTGGCCAGGAAAAACAGGCACTCGCTTCGTTTAATTTGTTTGCGGTCTAGATTTCTTTAATTTTTTTCTTTTTTGCGTGTGTTTATAACATTACCTTGAGGGCCGTACGGTTTGGTCACAAATTATTCAAAAGATTATTTCCACGGCACACCTTCATATGATCATTATAGTTATAAAAAAAAAGAGAATAAAGGAAAAACAGTTATGAAATACTAGCTAGCTAGATTTCCAAGTTAAGAGAGACGATCGTTAACAGAGAAAATCGCCACTACTGGTGAGGGACCAGCAGCCATTTAAGCCATTTAAGAACACACTATATATTACAAATTCATGCACTGCATTAGTGTGTTCACAGTGTACGACATGCAGTGTATTAAGGGAAGTATACAAATGTGTCAAACTGCCTAGCCCTCCTTGCTTTAGTAGGATGAAATCTCAATGTGACCAGTAACACGACTGGCTGGCAAGACAAGGGCTAGGTTATTTAGCTAACTTATCAATAAGAAGTCATGTTTCTATTCCATTCTCAAATGCGATTGAAGTGCGTTTTGATCAAATTACTTTGCAAATTGTAGTTTTGTCAGATATTGTCGGACTTTTCACTTGGCCCATAAACAGAGTAGATGAAGTAATGTGCACATTGGAACAAAACAACTCACCATGGCCATCTAACCAATCTACAATAGATACATGCCTTATTGAACCCCTCCACACAGGTTGGTCCCTTGTTAAACTAACACGGTTTTTTATTTCTACACAAGTACAGAAAATGCTACGTGTATATGTGGAGTTTTGGTGTTGTCAAAAAGTATAATGGTAATGACAGTAATGTATAGACTAATGGATACAATGTTAAATAAAATAAAAGTTTTATGTTAATTGCCCAACACTGCTAAAAAAAGGTTGCATCTGTAAATATGGAGAAAAAACACCATACCATTGCCATTGCATTAAAGCCTGTATTTTACATTTGGTTGTCATTACTGAGTACCAACGAAGCTGATTTTCACATATGCCTGTAAAAGCTTCACTATGCTATGCTAACAGTTTTCAGATTGTGTTGTGCTGTATGAGCCGGAATGTTGGGCATATAAGGCTCCATGCTTGTTTTGCACCCTTTCTGGTAGCCATCTTTCCGACCATAAAAAAAGAGATCTTGTGGAAATAAATAATTCTGATGTTGCTTTGTGTATGTGATGTGCCAAGCCTCCACGCAGCAGCTTTACCTCAGTTTCACAACATCATTATAACTATGTGAGGCCTTTAACCTGGACCTACAGTGTCACATATTTTGGAAGTTGTGGACTTCATTTTTTAATTATTGTTGCTGAATGGTGTGAAACCCAAATTAAGTGTTGTGTTCTGAGATATAACCACTTAAAGAGCACATGAACAACATATTTTTTGTTAGCAGAACACTTTCAATTACATCTCACAGATTAATGTAATGTATTAACCATAGGAGGTATCAGTATAATATGTACATATAGGGGAGGAGGACCAGTTTCAGCTCTTTTAGAGGGACTTAGAAATAAATAACCTATTACATTAATAAAACACTTGATATGGAAGCCAACAGAGGAAAGAGAGAAAACAAATCCTGTCAACCATATCTCTGTAAATAAACAAAAAATAATGTTTCTTCTCTACAGTAAGGACTTTTTTCTTCTCTTGGTGTAAGGACTTTTCTACAGTAAGGACAGGTGAAAAACATTTTTTTTCACAAGGCTAACAAATGACAGTTTTCTTTGGTTCCTTTTAATGTAGTAATGGATTACCCATTTTCAATGTTTGTTGGGTTAAAAGGCAAGACAAATTTAAAATAAAATAAAACGAGTTATGGTTAAGGTTATCATTGGTTTTATAATCATAATATATATACATCTTTGAACTTTCAGATTTTTTAAATAATTTTTGTTCTTACTGACACACAAACAATAAGTCTATAGTGAAACAAAAAAGAAAATACAGTATGTTCAAATGTAAAAATCTCTTAATAACTAATACAGATATATTCTTCACTGCCCTTAATTCCAAAGTGTTTATTTAAACTTTTCCAGTGCAACTTTCACGACATCATTTGACTTTGGGTGAAAATATTTGTACAGCGTTCAGTGCTTTATGTGTTTTACTGAGGTGGTCCTGGTGTGTCTTTTCAACCTTCTTTCCTGTATTGATTCAGTGTGTCGTCTAAATCAAATTATTTACCAGATGTTTAATCTGTTTATGCTTGAAAATGTAACATGTAAAACACTTTGAAGGCTCTGGATGGTATTTTTAAATATATCAAGGCGATTGATTGTGTCTTTATGCAGTGCTACTGATATTAAATGATTGTATTGACCTGTCCTGCATTTTTTTGAAGGAAAATATTTTATTTCTTTGTCACTATCTGCCTTTTTATTAATTCCTCTATTTTCTCACGAATGAAAATCTCAAAATACAACTTATTGAGGCTTTCACTTCTATAAAAGGAGCTTTTCTTCAGCCTCACTGACACATCAATCCTCACCTCCCTCACTCTCACAATGGGATGTGAAAAAAGAAAGAAAATAGCACGGTAGGTTCCCACCAGTTGGGTTCCCCTCTGAGTTTTTGTGTATTACATTTCCTGGCATCAAGTCAACCCAATGATCTAAGAGGCCTGAGGAAACAGCATGTCCCATGGTGCCTTGCCCTGTACATGTCTATAGCAACAAGGGGTCTTTTTCAATTAAATTAGCAAAGAATGGATTATAAAGATTAGATTATTTTTACATGGGAAAGATATGAACCAAAGCATATATGATGCTTTGGTTCATAGACGCAGCGATGGTATGCACATCCTCCTCTGAAATACAAAAACACAAGGGACTAGAAAATAAAGGATATGGTGTATGATGTGTACCTTAAATATGGCATGCATATTTATTAGGGTTGCCAATCGATAAAAAAATGTAATCCCAATAAATGTTTTTGATTGTCCATTGTCGCGATTAATTATTTGTTTTGTAAATGGACATTTAAGGGATATTTTTTGTTTTTAATACCCTTTTAAACATGGGAGTGGATAAATATGCTTTTTTCTATAGAAGATTAATCTTTGTCTGTCCTCCCCCCTTACTTTAGCAATTTTGTCTTCATACGCATTCTGTATCTTGTTCGCAAGGGTCGCCCTCATAGGCGGTTCATAAGCGCAGTCATTGGATGTGATGTGAATAGGCGCTTTCACACCGGAGTACTTTTCCCAGGAATAGTTCCGATAGTTCCAGGGACTTTCCTGGGGAGAAAACATTTTCCAATTTCTGATTGGCTAGGCGAATTGCAAACCACGCCCCGTACAACTCTGAATTTTTTTTTTGAAGCCACCATTTTATTTGCTGGCATTAACATTATTAGCATTAGCATTAGCCCAGCGCACTAATGGAGAGAGACTAACTTATGGCAACACAAAAGAAAAACATAAGCGGTGGAGTGATGAGGAGGTGTCGGCGCTTCTGGCGATTTACTCGGAAGGTTTCAGTAGAAGCTGCTGGGAGTCTTCCCAGCAGTGGTGTGTAGTGGTCGTTGGATGCGGGGGATCGCCGTTCCCCCCACTTTTTTGAAGCATGATTTTTTTTGAATAGTCTAATAAATATAAAATCATTGCCAGTGTTATCAGTTGCAAGTGTGTATTTGTTGTAATAATGATGAAAACATAATGCATTTCACAGTATTAATAATAATAAAAACTAAAAACGATTTCCTTAAAAAATGATGATTCGTCATCACGCTCGTGACCCCAGCGGTGACACCACCAGCTCGCCGCCTGCCAATTTTGCAGCATCTCTTTCCCTCAAGAACGCAACGAAACAGCTCTATAATGGCAGGCAAAAAAACGTTACTTGACTTATTTTCTAAAAAGAATATCATTCACGAGAAGAAAGAGGCTAGCAGCACCGAAGCTAAATAAGTGAATTCAGGACAACTTTGGGA